GAGAAACATCGATGTGAGAGAGACACATTGATTGGTTGTCTCCTGCACAACCCCGACCAGGGCCAGGGACTAAACCACAACCAAGGTACACGCCTTTGACCAGATTTGAACCCACGACTCTTTGGTCCACGGACCAACACTCTAACTGCTCAGCCAAACCAGCCAGGGCTATTCACAGCTTTTAAATATACTGGTGGTGCCCATCCAGTGTGTCTCATTGGTTGAGCATCAACCCATACACCAAGAGGTCACCGGTTCGATTCCTGATCAGGGCACATGCCCAGGTTGTGGGCCCGATCCCCCGTGGGGGACGTGCAGGAGGCAGCCAATTGATGTTTATCTCTCTCCCTCTCCCTTCCTCTCTTTCTAAAATCAATAATACAGAAAAAAACATTTTATTATTTTTTTTATCCTCACCCGAGGACATTTTTCCATTTTTTGTTCAGAGAGAGCGGGAGGGAGAGAGAGGAAGAGAGAGAGAGAAACATTGACGTGAAGGGACACATCGAGTGGCTGCCACCCGCACGACCAACCAGGGCCGGGGACAATCTGCAACCGAGGTATGTGCCCTTAGCGGGAACAGAACCCGGGTCTCTTTGTACCGCAGGTCGACTCTCCAACCGCTGAGCCAAACCGGCCAGGGCGAAAAAAACATTTTAAATACACTAGTGATGCTTTTCCTGCCAGGTAGTGGCTTTCCCAAACACCAGCTGGCCTCCACTCTTAAGAACAAAGGTATTAAACTCGGTTATAAAGACAGGAGACAGAGAGGCAGGCTGGTTACATGGGTGGGAGACATGGGACCCAGGACAAGTCTGGCTAATAACTCACTATAAGCAGGTGACCGACCTCCTTCTCATCTGAAAAGTGAAGATATCACTTGCTTTTACCATATGCCAAATATGGTCTGGGGTTCAAACAGCTTAAAAAAGGTGACAGGGTTTTGCAGTGTTTAACACAAATACACCACAAATACAAGGTGAAGTGGTGTCCTGCCAGCTCAGGAGAGCAGTTAAGCAGCTGAATCCAAGCAGCTGCTGGCTTGGCCGGCTCTCAGTGTCCCCTGCACCATCTCATTTGATCTCCACCCTGCTGCTGGACCTACTGGGTGAGCCACAAACCCCCAGTCTGTCAGTGTTTAACAAGGACACTGGGCTTTCCCTCCCCAGCACTTCACAAATAGCAGAAAAGGTCAGTAATTAAACTTAAAAAAAAAAGACACAAAGTAGCATGGTTCATTTTAGACTCCAAGTAGAGATAAGAGATCACTTTACAGCAGACTCTGAAACAAGGACGCTGAAAAGATGTGGCAAGGTGCGTCCTCAGGCAGGGCGCTGCTGGGAGTCCATCAGGGGTGGAATCCCAGCACTTACATAAGAGCCGTGGGTCAGGGAAGCATGGACTCTGGACAAGGCCGTCTGGGTCCGAACTCCACTTGCTGACTGTGTGACCCTGGGCATGTGATCAACCTCTCTGTGCCTCAATCCCCTCCCCTGCAAAATGGAGTGAGCAACAGTACCTGCCTCCATCACTCTCGTAGGGTTATTATGAAAACTAAATGAGTTCATATTTGTGAAGTGCTTAAAACAACATCTGGCTAACGGTAAATACTCTAAATGTTTGTTAAATCAATACCTACCTTACAGAATTCTGGGGAACAGTAAATAAGACGTGCATAGTTTATTTAGCAACATGACTGCAGGACTTAGCCATAAACTTAAAAATTAATGGAAACAGATTTACAGATATCCAAGCAACAATTTACAGCTGACTTTAGGCCTGAGATTACCCAAAACAAGTTTACTGGGTTGCCTGGAGTCCTAAGTGACCGTAACAGGAGACCAGATTTCCCAGACTGGGGCAGGGCAAGGGGGTGCCGGGCAGAAGGCAGTGCCAGCGCTGGTCGAGCTCTGCCAGGGACACTGCGCTGCTGAGAGCACTAAGTAGCTGACCTTACCTAAGCCTTGCTCCATCTCCACAAGCCAGTCACCTTCTCCACAGATGAGACCAAGCGATGCTAAATGCTGTCCACGGTCTCCTGGTGCTCCAAGGTCGAGCCCCACTAGAACTGGATAGGCTGCAATTCAACGCCCATGTACTGACGAAATGTAGGAAGCTCTGGTAACCGCAGCCTCCAATCATCAATAATTTGTGAAAAGTGCTATTTTCTTGCTGTTAATCCCACTTTTAAATAAAGTATGAATCCTCCCTAAACTGGAACACTAAGCTTTTTCAGGGGAAGGTGGAACCACTGTCACCAATTGTAAACCACCGAGAACTCAGCAAAATGAACAGAAATAGATTCTCCATATACCAGCATGTCATCCAATACTATTTTATACTACTGAAAAAAATCTTCCCGGCCTTTCTGAAGAATTTCACACATAAAGATTTGCTTTCTCAAGCAACACAAAAAAACCACCAACAGAAGTAAGACAGAGAGAAGAATAAAAGAAAGAAAAGAGACCATTATCTTCCAGAAAGGGTTTGAAAGCAATACTACAAGGAAAAAAACAAAACTTAATTCCAGTGCTCTGTAAAAAGACATTAAAAAAGCTATTCATACAAATCAGAATGTGAAAACTGCCACAAGAAATACATTTCTTTAAACCAAGGAGGGCCTTCCTTCCAGTTTTCTTGAGAAATTCGAGATGTCAAAAAACAGATTTTTATGACTTCAACTGTACATAAAAATAAGCAAGCCCTGGCAAGTTTTGCTCAGTGGTTAGAGCGTCGGCCTGTGGTCCAGAGAGACCAGGGTTCGGTTCCCGCTAAGGGCATGTACCTCGGTTGCAGTTTGTCCCCGGCCCTGGTTGGTCTTGTGGGTGGCAGCCACTCGATTGTCCCTTTCACGTCGATGTTTCTCTCTCTCTCTTCCTCTCTCCCCCTCCCACTCTATCTGAACAAAAAATGGAAAACAAAATGTCCTCCAGTGAGGATTAAAAAAAAAAAAAAGGCGATAGTTTGGTCTCCAAAACTCTTGAATGCAACTAGGATACACAGAGCCCCCCCCCGCCCCATGATTATACTGACTATAGATTCTGTGCCTTTTCTACCCTAAGCTGCACCCACATATACTTCTCTCTACCCCTGCCTGTCATCGTTCTGGACCGCTGGAGCCTTCTACAACAATAAAGGGCAATAAGGGTCCCAAACAGACACAGCTTTCAAAACTAAAACCAACACCCCACGCCCCAACCTGTGCTAGCTTACCAACAGAAAGGAGGCTGTGCTTTCCCACCCCAGAGCCGCCAGCCCCTCTCGCGTGAAACCCTGGGAGGCAGGAAGTCTGGAGAAAGACAGCCCGAGTCTCAAACACAATTTTGCAGTTTCTCCTAGTCCTGTAAAGCTGCATTCAGAGCAGAGTACTTTGTTTCCCTGGGAGATGTAGTAATTTTGGACAAGGCTTCTGGAAGACAAGACACTGCCATTAAAGTCTGCTGAGAGTGTGATGAGGAAGGCACAGGATCTTGGAAAAAATGTGCAGTCACATCTTGACTATTTCCACAGAGGCTGCTGACTTGAAAAAATTATGAAGGCCCAGTAGCCAAACTGAAAAAAAATCTCAGAGGGAAAAAAAAGTGTCAAAAAAACTAAAAATATAGATTCCATCTTGCACATAATGTTCTGCCAAACCCCATGCCCACGACCACAGAGGTCTAGACACTGCCTCACGCTGTGGGAGCAGTCAGGCCTTGGGCTGCCCTAAGCAGAGGCTAGGAAAGCGGCAGCAATGCGAGCCAGCAGCGGGAGGCGCTGCGGGGGGCACACAGCTGCCGGCACGTCCAGGCCAACTCTCTACAGGAAGTGAATCTCTGCACTCAGGGTGCTGTACTCCAGCCCTCACCTCCTCTCCAAATGCCTTAACGACAAAGTCGTTTTAGCAATGTTGATTCCTGATGGTAATGTTCCCTTGAGGGTTACTCAATTTAAGGTTTCCTGTCCTATGAAATACTTTACACAAGTTATCAGCAGATAATATGGTCCTCACCAGTTTCCTGCTTATCAGTCTTTCCCCACTGCTAACAGAATGTATTCTCTTCCATTTCCATTTCCAAAAATAACCTCCCACCACCAACTCAAAAGAAACCTCCAAAAGAATCTCTTTCAAGCTCCGGGTCTCCATGTGCCCAAGCGATGTTCAGTGGTGCAATGCCCTCAGCGGTGCTTGCCCCTTCCTCAATGTGATGGCACCACCATTCTTCAGTTATCACAGTACTGTACCTTCCAGATATACAGCATCGGTACCATGATAACCGAAAAAGGACAGTTCAGTCTCGTATCTACCTGAGTATCTTCTCCCACACAGGGCCCGCGCCCCCACAGATGGACACGTGATGTTCTCAAGCACATGTACACACACCCAAATGTCAGTGCTCAAACAGGCTGTTTACAGCAAACTCATCTGTGTCTATGGGAAGTGTTTCTTTCACTGTGCTGTTAACAACTGAAGTCTTCTCATCAACTGCTCTTTTTGTAGAGTGCTTGCTTTAATGCCTTAGCAGTCAGCTTCTGATAACATCCAACGGCCTCAAATTCACCTTTACAATTTCCCTACTGGTCCAGTGGCATTATTATAGACTTCATTTCTTTCTTCATTTTTCCAGTTTGTTCATACCCTACCATCTTGAACAAAAAGACAGCCCTATTTGCCACAGCTAGGGAAAAGAGGGATTAAAAAACAACAAAAAACTAACAACACAATCTAAACTATAGTGGAACCAGGAGTTTACCTCCAAAATGAGAAAAATCTAAAGCACAGACAAAAGAACTGTCTAATATGCCACACAACGTTAATGACATGGAAATGATAGATAGGAATGAAGAAATTACAGGAGAGAAAGGAAGGCAAGATCCTTGTTAAACCTCTAGCTCATTCAAGGATCAGTACAAGCAGGTGTTCCCAGTGATAAGCTATGCACAGTATAACACCTTCATCATTTCATGCAATAGGAGGATTAAATTGGACGGCATAATGAGGCTGAATGAAAACAACTCACGTGTAGGGAGAGAGCGGTCCTAGCAGGACTTTGGAAACGTCCTGCTGTCCAAGGGTCATGAACAATAGAGCTAGGCTTTGGTTGGTCGAGTCCACACATCCACCCTATAAATACAAACACTTTCAAGATTAATCGTTATACCAACCAGAAAATGGAAAACCAAGAAAACAGTCACAAATACCCAGAATATCAGAACCACAGCAGAGCAGGCTGCAAAGTTCAAACAATAATAAAACAGATATGGGTCTTTTAAGAGTAATCCTTGTATCAATTAACTTTGGAGGGTTGGACTAACAGTTCATTGAAACAACTGTATTAGCTGAGCCTATCAGAATAAATAGACATTCAAGTTTACTGAGGTATATTTAGAGAAAAACAAAGCTTTCCCTTCATAATTAAAGCAGCAGCAGGGCACATAAGCAAAAAAGCATAATCAGGTCTAGGAAATGAATAGGTAATTAACAAGGCTGAAGTGAATGTGGCTTGTTTAATGTCACAGACCACCACAGTCAATCTGACATGAAAGGACCTTAACCTATCACATGTAGCCAATCACATTCAAAAACCGCTTGCCAAGTCACATTAGTTTCTCCTCTTGATGCTTCCTGTGTGCCTTAAAAGTGAAGAACTATTAAGATCAAATCCTTCCATTATTATTATTTATGCATTATCCCTCCCCCTCTTTCCCTCCTTTTCCTTCAAATCAATAAGCAGAACAGAATTCTTTTCACAGACTTTCTTCTGAGGAGTGACTGTTTCGGTTACCTTTCTTCTTTTGTTCCTGGATTTCTCGACCATTTCAGTCATTTTGCTGCTACTACATGTGTGCATGACTGCTGTTTATGTGTGTGCCTTAAAAATGTCTTTATTTCTGATCCTTCTTTCTGAGATAACTTTATTTAAAACAATTCAAACATATTGTACAGAGTGAAAGTAGCATGACCTCAGTTTTCTTCCTATTTTGTACATGTCACAAAAAGAACCCAGTTTTTGATGATGGCACATCACTGTCCAAGCCTAGACTCCCAGACTTTAAAAAGAACAGGTGGCTGCTGGGTACACCCTCTCTCCTTTTTAAATGCATACAGTGTAGGGAATATATTGATCCCCAAGCACAGATATTTACTCTGCTGTCAGATTTCATTTACAACAATGGAGTAGGAAAATGTAAGGGGGCTTATCTTACTGCTAGCCTTTATGAAAATCTACTGCTCTTCCTAAACTACCTTAAAGGACAATATTTACCTCACTAAGCAAATATAAGGACAAGAAGAGGTATATTTCCACACAAAAAAGAAAACCTGACCCATGGAAACTACGAGGACCAACAAGTGTTTTTACAGAACTTGCTTCCTTTCACAGACTGTTTAAACTGTCCTCTTCAATTTCTGCTGCTACAGGACACCATGGAGGGGGTGGTGGGGCCACCCACAACAGAGGATGTAGCCCTTGTGTCAAGTGGCTTCCATCTCACTGAGAAGATGAGATATGAGCAGGAACCAGAACCAACTCAAGGCGGAGTCAGAGCTATGCAGCAGCTGAGGGCTGTGGGCACCGGGACTGCCACTCACCTGGCACCAGAGGGAGGCTTTGGGAGGTGGGGACCTGAACTGACCCTGGAAGGATGAGCAGGGAGTGAGGGAGTATGACCCAGGGCCATCAAGGAACAGCCAGGAGGCCAGCCTGAAAGTGACTGCATGCTGTCTGTGGAGAAATATGCAAAACTGCAGGGAGACGCGGAGTAGGCAGACTGAGGGCTTTTCTGAGTCCAGCAAGGTTCTGACTTTATCTTGGAAAAGTGAGAAGCCAGCGAAGGTCTCTGAGCACAGGAGTGAAAAAGATCAAGTGTTTTAGGAGCTTCGGACTAAAGGGGTGTTGGAGAGGATCTGGAAAGGAATCCTGCCTCTGCAACAGGGGGGAGCCAGCACACAAAATGGGGTAGGGAGTGGGGGTGGGAGGCATGGGAGGAGGGCAGGAGATGGAGGCAGCAAAAAAGATGGATAGGAAAGGCAGTTCCAGAAAGCCTGAAACAGAATCAAGAGGCCTTGGTAACTAATGAGACATAAATAGAACAAGAGTGATTAGACCAGAGAATTAAAACTTTGATAAAAAATAAACAGCACCTTCAAAGGGGATATATTTTTATTATTCATTTAAACCATGTCACATCACAGGCCTATAAAGAATTATTCATAAAAACATGAAGCATTTTCATCCTTTTAACAACTGAAGATCATAGACACACAAAAAGGAAGTTTTCTTTATGACTTAAAAAAAACAACCTTGGTACAGGCACAATGAAATGGTTTTAGGTAGAAGTTCACTCAAGCAGAGAAACTAAAATGACCTGATCCAGACTGCTTGTTCTCTGCGGACCTGCCACCCTGCTCCCACCCTGAGGCCTGCGACGTGCTATTTATGGGGATAGAGCCCGCACTCCAGGGCTGCTCTGTAATGTGATGCTTCCAGCTCCCCAGGTCTGCTGGAGGGGAAGGGAAGGATCCCCAAGGTCAGAGAGGGCCTGCCAGCCACAAGGAAGGGAAACCCTCCACAGTCACCAGGGGCTTGGGGACACACATACAACACATTCTGACTGCACAGATGTCCAGGTGACCAACTTCCTGAACTAAGTGACATGGTAACCTCTTTAATCGCTTATTTACTCCCAACTTTTAGTTACTACCCAGCTTTAAAAAAACAAAACACTAACTCAAATATCACACAGTGGGCTGATTTAGCATCAAAAAAGCTAAGCCCAGACCTTGACTACGCAAGAATTGTGAGAAGATGCTTCCGTCTTCAGGAGGATTTCATTTGATGGGTATTTCTTTCCACTACTATTTGCCAGCTGAATGGTGAGCAGAGGGAGTGGAGTCACTCTACTGAAGACACATTATAAATCCTCTGTCTTCCACTTTAATTAGGCGAACATTAAACACATCCATTTAAGACCTGGACATCTGAATGAACTCTGACACTGTTCATTCTTACTCGTTTCACCGTGCAACCAGAGATGCTGCTGAGAATGGTGACTGGAGCAGGGGAGGAGACTGTGGCCATAAGCTGTTTTCCTTAGCGAGGCCTGTGCAGGGATCAATACCCATGAACCAGGCATCATTCTACCACAGTGATTAATAAATTACAGTGACAAAAAGAATTAAAAAATAAAACAAAATCACCACCTTACCCCTGCCTTACTGGTTTTATTTCACTGGGTTCACATATGATTTTGCTACGTTAAAAGCTTCCTTGGAGACTTTAGGAAAGAACCCAGAAATGTCTAATAACTGAGAAGACACAGATAAATACAGAGATGAAAGGCTCTTCGGCTGAAGAAAAAAAGACAATGTACAAACACTATACACCATCTAATAGCAAATCACCCAGAGTAAAGGTTTTGCTAGAATTCAGCTCAAGAATGTGGGGCCTCACACACATAGCACAGAAGTGGGCCATCCCTGGGAGCCTGTCCTGGAGTCTGCATGTTGAGAACAAGGGCTCACCTTCTGACATGGATCCAAGGCACAGACAAGCGGGAGGCCTGAAGCCAGACTTGTGACTCTCCTCTAACATGGACCTAATGAATATACTTTCAGGTATGTTCGTCTTAGTTCTCTTGCCCTCACCTCTCCTTCTCTCCTGATTTCCTTGCTTATCTTAGGTCACCCCGACTATTTTGGAGAAACAGAGCACAAGCGGATATATGTCTACATGCACGTTGCTCATACGGATCAACAGAGAGAACACAGTGGCAACTGAGAGGACAGGTTGGTCCAACTGGTCTGAGCTGTGTCCCATCAACAGAGCCGTAGAAGCAAATGACAATCGATGAAGTCTTGTCTTCAGCTTCTGTCACCCTTTCTCTGCCCTGTGTTCTCATCTTTCCAAAGCCCCTGCCGTGCTCTGGCACAGGCCTGCCTCCCCTAATCATTCTTCTATGCTCCAGAACACAATGAAAACTCTAGCCTACTGACACTATTTTGTACCTGAGTCAATTGTGACATACAAATCCAGATGTCCAACTTCTCTTGAAAAACCTGAAAAAGATGAGCCCCCATCCTCACATGGCAATGGCAGGGGGATTTGAGAGACGTACCTGCTTTGGTCATGGCAATGTATCCTCTTCACTCTCCAGTCACCAGCCAACCTCCTTCATTTCTAACCTTCTCACTGTATAACTCTGTTTCAGCTCTTTAACAGAGTCTATCTACACTGTTACAACTTACCTGCCCTGTGTCCCAAACCAAGGGGCTGGATCTCTGCTCATTGACTAGTTTAGCTACTCCATTAAACTAGTTCATGTTAAACTGTTTAATGGGTAGGAAGAGGTTAACTCCTTGGAAGAGGAAGAAAGTTGCTAAGGAGTAAGAGGGGGGGACAAGGAACCGCTTCCTGATGGATCCCCTCCCAACTGGCAGAGGCCGAGGACGTACCCTGTAGATTTCTTCAAGCAGCAGCTTGGCACAGTTCCTGCCCAGGTCCTCTGGAAGCACTGCTGCTCCCTGGCCCTGGGGGTTGGAGGTCAGCTCAGCACTGAGGAAGGTGCCGTTGGTGGTCTCGGCAACCAGTGACAATCCAAAGCCTGGAGACCTGGGGATTCAAAGGCACAGACACTGAGCAGGGTTAATGAAGTGGGGTTCACAGTCACCAGCAAAATGAAAGAGAAAAGAAACATCTGTCTGATGGCATTCTGTGTTGTTACACTGAGTTCCCACTTGCTTACACTGGAAATAGACGTGGCTTCGTGAGGGCACACTCGGCAGAACCACAGAAGGTGCAAGTTTGCACTGCTTTTCCTATTCACCCTCCTGTCCCTCCCTTCTCCTGCCCCTCCCACACTGTAAAGATCCTACTGTGAGAGCTTCAACAACATTAGCAAGGGTTACCGGATACTGAGCACCTACTTTCTGCATTTCTGAGTCAGGGGCTTTGACACTACAATTCTGCAGAATAGACATTACATGCCCACTTTAGAAATGAGGAAATGGAGAAAGTAAGCAACCTACACCACCTCCACACAGCTAGAAAAGTGACTGAGATGTGTTCCAAATGCAAGTCTTCTAGACTCCAAACCTACCCAAGTTCACCACCACAGCCCTCACGCACAACCAACCCCGCAGGTGTAAGTGACCACCTCATTACAGCTCCTCCTGGAATACATGAAGCTTTTCCCCATAAGGAAAAGTACCACACAAGCCAGAAAGAGCCTAGGCAGGCACACCTTTGTTTTTGTCCCCGAGGGACATCTCTAATTCAGAATTCAATACAATCAACGAGCTGGCACTATGTTCTCTCCCAATGCATCCAGAACCTAACGCCCTCTGGTCCAGGACCACAGCTGACTCATTCATTCATGAATCCAATAAACATGAGTGGGAAAGCTTCCACTGGCCAAGAACTGGGGGCGCTGTGGTATATAGAAGAGTGCCTGCCCTCACCAACTTTAGTGACAACCAGTCTGACATAAAACAAAATCAGTCCATAAACAATAAAACAAGAAGCACCACTCCACAAAATTTCCAGATCTGACACCTCAAGTCTACTTTGTCCCATGCTGTTCAGGCAAATGTGTCACTGGGAAAGGAGCAGCATCCAGTCCACACACAGCACAATACAGACCTGCCCCCTTTGACACAGTTTAACACATACATGTTCATGGAGTACTTTCTTTTTTTTTATCCTCATCCAAGGACATTCTTCCATTTTTTTGTACAGAGTGGGAGGGAGAGAGAGGAAGAGAGAGAGAGGGAAACATCGATGTGAAAGGGACACATCGAGTGGCTGCCACCCACACGACCAACCAGGGCCGGGGACAAACTGCAACCGAGGTACATGCCCTTAGCGGGAACCGAACCCGGGTCTCTCCGGACCGCAGGCGGACGCTCTAACCGCTGAGCCAAACCGGCCAGGGCTCATGGAGTACTTTCTACACACTCAGCCAAGGTACTTGTTTCAGAAAAACTATGTGTAACATAAATGATGTTTCAAATGCATTATATGAGTTCACTATAGGGAAAGACTAATTTCTTTTTTTAGAAATCGATGATCCATGCAGCCCAGGGTTAATAACACCTGCCAAGGGAAGGGGTGCAGTGAGTTACCTATGTAATCAAAGGCCTCAGGACACTGTGTGTGATGCTTAACAAGCTAACACCATGCCACCCCTCCATCATCATGGGACTTCCAGCACAATCTCAAGTTGCTTGACCAGGAGGAGGGAGGAGACATCAGCTCTGCAGAAGAGGCAGTGATGTGTGAAATTAGAGAGTAGGAAATGGAGAGGAGGGAGAACCAGAAGATGAGCTGCCATTACTGCTTTAACCCTCTTATCTGAATGTCCCAAGAACAATTCTCCTATCCATGTGAACTTTTTGAGGTATGTGTACTTGTTATTATAGTAAACTTGATAGTTGATCAAGATCATTCCATTTAACATTATATTTGTTTTACAGAAAACAAGATAACATAGTAAGCTTTATGTGTACTACTCCAATTTCCCCCTCAGTTGGGGTGTGTGTTATGAGTCCTATTTCAAGTTATGCTGACAAAGCAGCTGGTCACCAGGTGACCTCACTGAAGATGTGCATTAGTACAGTGACAGCCTCCCAAAACTTCCACCCAGTGGACTAGTGTTTTTCTTAAAGCTGTGACTGAGAGAGTCCAAATGGCACCACACTGGCCAGATGTGCATGCTGGTCAAAGTACTGACACGGGCCACTAGGAATTGCTGGCCCATGGCCACAACGGTAAACTCTCCCTCGATCTCACTAAGCCAGCTGACAAGCAAACTTCAACGACTCGGAAGAGGAAAATACCACCCACAATCTGATCATGTCCTAAGAGAAGGAAGACCACTGTGCCATCTGTAACTTAAGATTTAGAAAACTAAACAAAATCTATCATACGCTGTTTTTGATTTTTTAAGGGGGCTTGGAGTTGATGACCCATGAGTCTACATATACCCACAGCTTGATACATTGTGAGCTTCCTACAGTGTGACCACGTGCTGGGGTCAGCTGAGTCGTCATTATAAAAAGCCACATTGGCTGGTGGCAGTATGGCCTTCAGCCTGCTCTGCTTCATCCCTGGCCACCTGGTGGTAGAGACCACGGCCTGACAGAAAAGGCATTATCGCGATCAAGCCATTCAGACAGCTGCTGCCCTGTCCTCCCATCCCTGCAATCCCTTCTCCCCAGAGAGCTGCTGACACAATTACAGATCTGTGGCCAAGAAGGAGAGAGAAAGGAAAGAATGGCCTTGGCAGCTCCCATTTCTGCAGTACCTACTCTGTGCCAAGCATTGCCTTAGAGGCTTACATGTGTGATCTTTACATCTTTACAGTTACCTAGGGATGCAGGCATTGCCATTACCACTCCCATGGTACAAACAAGGAGAACACTGATGATATTTGAACAATGCACAGGTTTGGGATCGTCACTGACCTTTCCAACCTCCAGAAGAAAGGGCCAGCTTTGCACACAAATCCTTTCCCAACTCTAACCTCTGACACCACCACCTTTGTCACTTTGGACTGTGAGCCACTATGGTGCTTTTAAAACCACCTTCATCTTTCCCTTGGGCCTCATGAAGGTCAGAGATGGAATAATGCCTACCCTTCCTTGACTCTCTTTCCTTCTTTGGCTGAAGTTTAAAGGAACAGCAGATGGAACATCTGTGAAAAGGTTAGCTGTTGCACTTAGGGAAGACTAGACCTCTTAACCCACTACTGTCCATCTCAGCCTCTGAGATCCTTACATTTAGGAAACACAACCTGAAAACTTCAGATTCAAAGTACAAAGATACTGTCACACTAAAAAATTTAACAAACATCAGCAAAAACAAACCCACACAGATAAAGCAAATTTGGAAAAATATTCATTATTAACTATAGGTAGCAGGAATATATAGGTGTTCACTATACTATCCTTTCAATTTTTTTCCAGTTATAATTTATATTTGATATCATTTTATATTAGTTTCGGGTCAATTTTTCTTTATGTTTAACATTTTCAGAGTAAAAAAAAAAAAAAAAGGTTTTAATTGCTTCCCTAAGTCACTGGTTTCTAAATATACAATGAAAGCCTAAAATAGATATTTTCATTACATAGATCATCATTAACTATTTGTTTTCTAAAGTGAGGTTTTTCACAAAGGCTTTTACTAAACTAAACTCCAATCTGCAATAACAACTTTCTTTGGCTCTAGGGGTGTTGTTCCCCTCGATGGAGAGAGAATCTGACTGGCACTCTAGCCAACAAAGGATTTTTCCCTAAACTGTTATTTACTCAGGGTGGAAGAACATGTTTACTTTAACTTTTTGTGGGAATGGAGTACAGATGGGATTTAAAGCTTAAAGCACTGTTTATAAATAGCCAGGTTTTCATTCCCCCAGGCCAGGGACTGGCCCCTTACCTCCCAGTACCAGCCACTGTGATGCTTCCAGGAATTATTGATGACAATGGCAATAAGTTGGAAGAAAATGAAATCTGAAATTGTTCTTCCTCTGGCTGCTCAACCTCAGAGCTAAAGCTTTAGCTACAGTCAGGACATGAGGATGAGAAAGGCTAGGGCAGCTGTGGAATTCGGCTCCAAAATACACAGGCACTTACTTCCCAGAGTTGATTCCTTTCATGTGGTCTGTGTAAATATAGATATCAGGTATAAACTTGTTGAGGATGCTCCTTGCAGAATCCACAATCCGGTTCGCCATCTGAGGTGACACACGTACAGAGTACCTACAGCCTAGAGTTAAGGGCATCATTCTGCTTGGACTTCAGAACAGAGAAACACCAAGAGCTAGCAAACATTTGTGAAACTGTACTGCCCAACTGGGATTTCTAACTGCATTTTATTTTCTGACTGTACTTCATTACTTAACTGTACCATCATTCATTTTTGTATTTTTTTAACTTATTACTATCTAATTTTATATTAGAGCTATGAAAGGCTTACTGCTCATGGTGAAAACAAACAAACAATACAAAGAGTTGAAAAGTAGAACCTCCCAACCCTGATCCAGACTTCTTACCCACACCCCTGCCCTTAGAAATGATTCAACTCAATTCTGGAACAAATAAAGGCATCTGCCTCGTACAGCATGAGCCAAGCTCCCTTTGATGTCTTCTCTGACCCCCCCCCCCCCCCCCCACTGCTGTCACCAATGAGTCTCTCAGAACCTACGACCAGAACATTTGCCACACGGGGCTGACCAATCCACCTCCTGGCCTGTTGACAGGGAAAACAGAAAAAACAACAGGGGAAAAAAAGCACAGTGGCTGCTGCATGGAAAGATTAAAACAGGTTAGATTTTTAAAGTTACAGAGCTTATTTTCAGTTATTTAAGTATTGGTCACTCCATTTGTGGATGATTCAGACTCCTCACAACTGCTACTGCATGGTCACAATACTGATAATTAGCACTTTTCCAACAGGGCACCCCCAGAAAAGAGAGAAAAATATCAGCAACTCAAGTACAAAGGTCGGTGCCTGAGGAGATGGGAAAGAGAGACTGGCTCTCCCCAACCCTGTAAATCAAATAAAAAGTATGTACTGAGCACTTTCAATGTGCAATGCACGGGCATAAGCTAGCTGCATATGCAGGACAAGAGGCTAAAAGAACACAGAAGTAACAATGTGATCTTCCCACTTCCCTTACACAAAACTCACATGGCAAGTCCAACAGGGAAAACAAGGTGTGTGGTCTGCCCATTTCGGCCGAACTCTTCAAAAATTACGATCAATAAGATTTAATTTTCATTTGAGCTGCAGAACAAAATGCTCCAAGTCTATATAAAAACTTGAACAGTATCTAGCTTCCCTTTTTTGATCCATCCTGAACATTCCACTCAAAGACCAACCTTCCTCACACTAGTGAGAATCTCTCAGGAACTCTGAACCCTCCCAGATCCTGCTATCAGACGCTCTGGCCTGCTTGGTGTTCATCCCTAACCCGGCAACCTCACCCCTCCATCCATCCAAATTCTCCAAATTCTTCATTCCTTCGTCCTTCAAGTCCAGAGTTCCCTCTCTCTGAAACCCTCCAGCCATCACCCAAATGTGATCTGCACTTAAACTTACCACCCATCTCCCTTCACACACACATGTTCCTGCTTGTCAACGCGGCTGCACACTCCACAGGGGAAGCGGCTCTGCTGCTGAGCCCCTCAGACTCTCTAATACACTTTTGTACTCAGAAACATTCAATAAATATTTGACTTGACTCAAAGGACAAACTGAAATGAGGAAAGAGCAAAGAAGGATTGATTTTTCAATACACACAGAGTCCAGTTACATCACCACCTCTTCTGTCCAGAATGTACTTTTGACCACAGGCAGCTAAGACAAACAGTCCTGGGTCTCATACCCTTTGGACCAGGTGGGTGCTGTCCTTCTGAGGCCTGAGGCTGCTCACTCTCTCTAGGAGAGCAAAGAGGTCACTATCCTGACACATCATCCCACAGCGTTTGTGGTTCCCAAAGTTCTTTTAGGTACATTATCAACTTACATTATTAGGCTCATAGTAACTCTTGGGCGAGGGCTATGTATCCCAGTCCAAGGGCTCATACTGAAGACAACTGGGTCACAGAACTAAGATTCCCATTAAACAGATCCACTTCCCAGAGACAACCCCTTCCCCTCCCCCCTCCTGAGATATGGAAACCAGGGGACAGTGCCTGTTCAGGGGCTGTGCAAGTCTATGCTAGAATTCAAGCAGTGAACTGAGAAGGGAAAGGAGCTTAAACTGGTTACATCCCAGAGTCACTATGGAGCACCTGGCTTGGCATGGAGGCCCTACCAAGGAACAACCATGGTTCTAGAGTCATACTGTGCTGAAGTCCCAGCTCTAGCTAACGGCATCATCCTGGGTCTGATGTGCTATTCTCTGTGCCTTCACTTCCTCATTAGTAAGAGGATAGTCATAATACTGTCCCCACAGGGTATGGGGGCTCAAACGAAATAATGCATGTAAAACAATTAGTGGTGCCTGGTAGATGGTTGGAGCCCAGTAACTGCCAATTATTGCTTTTCTTACTATTGGTCCAAGATTCAAACCCAGAGCAGAGGTTCTTATCCTTTCAGAAATCAGAGAGCCCTCTGAGAATCTGATGAAAGCTATGAACACACACTATTACAGATAATTTGGGGGTTATGAATGTCCTGAAGCTCATTCATGAATACCACTTAGAACTCATATCCAAGAGGAAGTTCAAAGCTACAGTCCAAATGGAACTCCAGCCTTTACCATCCCGAGGACTGCAGGTCAGCGAAACCCAAGGAGTGTGTGTGCGTGTATGTGTGCGTGCATGTGTGCGTATGTGCAGAGGGAGAGAGACTGATTCCCATCCCTACAGTCAAAGAAAGGAAACCAGACTGTCCCACTCCTTCCAACTCACACCCAACTTGTGCCTCTACCCCAGATCATGAGCTACCAGGACAAATGCTCCCTTCTTTCTCACCCCACATCAGGCAGGGGAAGAATGAGAGTGGGTGGCATTAAACAGACAGTAACGGCACCGTCCAGTCACAGCTGTTGGCAGGAACCAACATCAGCTCCCTCCCAGGCCCTAGCCAGTCAATCAGAAGGGAAAAGAGGCACTTTGGGCGGAAGTTCATTAAAACCACAAATGCACAGAAGAGAGTGGAACTGATTCCCCCAACTTGAGCCCTCCTGTGGGGACACAATCGCCAAGCTCAGCTCAACAGTTAACCAGCCTGGCAAGTAAAAACCACAAACCAGCTAAAACTGTTTCCAGAGGCACTGTTTTCTTTCCAGGCTCCAGTACCGGTTTGCAGGTGATCTCAATTCAAACCCACATTCCTTGTGAAATGGGCTGTTCTGCAGACCAATAGCCTGAATGTTTGGTTTGCAGACAGGGATCTAAGCAAGGGTGCTGCTTCTGATCTTCCCAGGGTGTTTAGAGGAAGAGTGGGGAGGATTCAGGGGTCATACCCCCTGCCTCAAGCAAGGGGAGGGGTTTGGGCCCTCACCAGTCTCTCTCTGGCTCAGATTCTGTAAAGGGAAGGCTCTACAAACTCCAGAGGGAGAAGTCAGGGAGGAACAAAGTCAAAGCCCAGGTGCCTGGGGCACCACAGCCCTCCGCGTTCATGTTCTCCTCGACACAATCCAGGATGCTCACTCATTTCCCAGAAACATCAAAGGCTTACTCATGAGGCTTTAGACACCCAGTGGAGAGAGTACCAGGCAGGTCCCAGTGTGATAGCCACCATGAAACCCATGTTGTTACCACAAGATGTGTCAAGACAAACAGCACACGCTGGAAATCACATATCCAGACTAGAGAATGGATCCTAAACAGTTTACCACCATGGTAGGAAACAATCTCAAAACACAAACTGAAATAGACCTGGAAGCACAAGGCTATAAACTGCAGCATTTTTGGCAACAGGGAAGTCAACTACTCGTCAACCTGAAGGCTCCCAGGACAGGAACTATTTCTCCCCCACCTGCCTACTTTCTCCTCATACACAAGGGTATGGGCCCTAGGTGGTCCTGGGATAGCCACACAGACAACAGACTATACTACAGGGAAGCTTTGCTATAACCTCCTCTGCTCTTAAAGATCTTACAAAGAACTTCAGGCAGCACCCCAAGTTTGATCTTTTGTCTCAAAACGGCCGCCTCTGCCATGGATATGCAGCCTGCCCTATTCCATGGTCCTCACCACTTGCTGCTCAAGCTAATGGAGACCTCTGAAAAACCAGTCCACTGCCCACTTCTTTTCCTCCAAGTAAGCCTACCCTGAAACCTCCTGAGAAATACAAAACTTGACTCTAAGCACCTACCCCATCCCTGACAGGGAGACATCCTGGTTGACCCCACTCTGTCATACTCCCTAAGGGAAAGCCACCTGCCAACCCCATCCAGTGCCCTGGCCGCCAACACCTGCTCTTACCCAGATCTTGTCAGCACCTAGAAATTTACCACTTTTAACATCTGAAACCTCCCAACAATTCCCTAAACACAATTTCTGGTTCTTCTACGCAGATACATATCTGCGTCCACTAGAAACCTGTTAAGATTACCAATTCCATAAGCATGTGCTTTCTGGAGCCCACGGCCATCACTTCAAACAGGCTCACAAATACGCCCTGGGACCCATCCTTCTGCACTGCTCACTACCTGTTAATCCACACCCGCCCCTGGATGAAACTGGCCCTCCTGCCTTCTCTGCTTCTCCCTGAGGCTGCCAATTGCTGCTGGATGCAGCCACACTGCCATGCAGTCGGCACCATGACAATTTCGGCTTCAGCTGAGCCCACACTGCTGTTCTACAGCCTTTTTCTTATCTCTAGTTACTATGCCCCACTGAGACATCTTTACCACCCTTGTCACTCTCCCTTATCACACCCCTGCCAACCCCCTTATCCTTGATCCCATCCTAACTCACTGAGAAGGTAAAACTCCTCCCAACACCCTTCCACTCACTTCCAGACAAATCTAGAGCCACCTTTACCATATGCCTGCCATTCCCAATTCAGCCCTTTCCAAACAATAAAAGTTACAGCAGCTACCATTTACTGAATTAATCAATCTAGTCATGATGAGGCAGATAATAAAGCATCACATCTCAGCCAATAATTATAATTTCACTGTTAAGACTTTTCCATGATTGTTGTCTAAAATGTAAATAACCCTGAGAAGAAGCAAAGTTGTTGTGAGTCACTCTTAGTGAGGCTTGAGAAAAACATAAGAAATCTGAACCAAATGCAAAGGATACGCCATTCCTCTGATACGTTTGATTTTTCCTGGATCTGTGAGCTGAATGGGCTTCAGGACCTTCCTTATGGGACATGAGAAAAGCACTTCACCTCCTCCTCCAGGAGGCATTCCCCGTCGCACAATCTGCTCATGGTGAGAAAGAAGGGCAAGGATGCAGCAAAGCGTAGGTGACCCAGACACCCAACCCAGTAAGGTTTACACCAAGGGGCTCTTCCTTGGAAGGGAGACAGGCATTTCACATTCAACTTGGCAATTCCTTCAAGGTCAGTTGCACCTGATGTTAGCTTCAAGAGGACACATGATGAGCAAGGACATCTCACAGTATGTCAGAAACAGCAGCAGACACTGAGCCAGCATGTCCCAAAGTCAGGCGGGTCTTCAGACTTTGAACGAGGGACTGGCCGGCCTAGTCCATGAGTTAATCATATTTCAACCCCTTTTTTCCTATGTAATTATCTGATCTATCAAAACTTGATTACAGTCATGCACTGCTTAACAACAGGGTATGCTCTGAGAAATGCATCGTTAGGTGACTGGGTCGCTGTGCGAACATCACAGAGTATACTTAAACAACCTACATGGTAAGGCTACTACATATGATACAGCCTACCGCTGCTAAGCACACTGTATAGCACATTACTCTACTGAATACTGTAGGCAACTATTACACAATGCTAAGTATATGTATATCTAAGCGTATCTAAACAGAAAGGTACAATAAAAATGCAGTAAAAAAGATAAAAAATGGTATACCTGTATCAAACACTTACCATGAAGCTTGCAGAACTGAACGTTGCTCTGGGTGAATCATGAGTGGTGAGCAAATGGGAAGGTCTAGGACATGACTATGCGCTACTGTAGACTTTATAAACACTGTATACTTAGGCTACATTAAATGTATTTACAGTGATACCTCGGTTCTCGAACATAATTCGTTCCAGGAGGACGGTCGAGAACCGAATTGTTCGAGAACCGAAGCAATGAAACCCAATAGGAAAGCGGACTCCACAAAGCGTGACTCTCTCTCTGCACTCACACTGATGACGCAAGCAAGGCGCGCTGGGCCGAATGAACGCCATTCGGCTCAACTCGGAAGTTCGAGTTCCAAATATTTGTTCGGATTCCGAGACAAAAGTTTCTCGAATCCTGATTTGGTCGAAAACCGAGGCGTTCGAGAACCGAGGTATCACTGTATTTATTTATTTATTTATTTTAGAGAAAGAGGAAGGCGGGGGGCAGAGACAGAAACATCAATGAGAGAGGACATCGACTGGCCACCTCCTGCATGCCCCCCACTGGGGATTTGGTCCACAACCTGGGCATGTGCCTTGACCGGGAATCAAACTGGTGACCTCTTGGTATATGGGTCAACCCTCAACCACTAAGCCACACAGGCTGGGCTACATTAAATTTATTTAAAAATATTTTCTTTCTTCATGCCCAGCCCGTGTGGCTCAGTGGACTGAGCATCGTCCCATGGACTGAGAGGTCCTGGTTCAATTCCCGAACAGGGCACATACCCGGGTTTTGGGCTCCATCCCCAGTGGGGGGCATGTAGGAGGCAGCCAATCGATGTTTCTCTCATATAAATGTTTCCATTTCTCTCTCTCCCTTATTTTCTCTCTAAAAAAAAACAATAAAAACATTTAAAAAATATTTTCTTTTTTCAATAAATTAACCCTAGCTTACTATAACATTTTTACTCTATACATTTTAAATTTTAAGCTTTTATAATAACACTTATCTTAAAATACAGTGTACAGCTGTACAAAAATATTTTCCTTCTTTCTTTATATCCTTATTCTATAAATTTTTTTCTATTTAAAACACTTTTTTTAAAAGAAACTTTTTTGTTAAAACTAAGACACAAAATCACACACATTAGCCTAGGCCTACACAAGGTCAGGATCAATATCACTGCCTTCCAACTTCACCTCTTGTCCTTCTGGAAGGTCCTCAGGTCACAAATGGAGCTGTCATCTCCTTATAACTATGCCTTCTTCTGGAATACCTCCTCAAGGACCTGCCTGAGGCTCTTCTTGAGGAAATGTGTCCATGGTGCTTTTCTTGGTTCATTTCTTATTTTCATCATAGATGGTAAGCAGGTAATGCACCATGAAGATTCCTATTAATGAAAACTTTTTGGTACTGGGACTTCATATTTTCAAACTTTTTAAGAAGCTTTTTGAGTTCTGCTAGAGATTCTGCTAAACCCTTCACTGTGAATTTTCTTTCCCTTCTCCTGCAGTTCCCTTTTCTCTTGCCTCTTCTTCAGCTATGCGTTCCTGTCCCAGTTCCAACAACTCCTCAATGTCAGCCTCACCCACACGCAGGTTAAAGTTGTTTGCCATCTCAACCACTGCCTTGTGATTTTTACAACTTCCTCAGCCTTGGAAAATCCTTTGAAGCCATGGACAAACCCCTTGAGTGTCTTCTTCCAGATGCCATTCATACACTCCTTGGTGACATCACCCCAAGCCCAAACAAGGCTCTTGAAACAGTCATGAATATTTTAATCCTTCCAAAATTGCACCAGTGTCTTCCTCGTTGCAGCAATAGCCCAGGCAAAGGTCTTCCTCAGGTAGCAGACCTTAAAAGCTGCTGTAATTCCTTGATCCACTGGTTCAATCAAAGAGGTGGTGTTTGGAGGAAGAAACACCACTTTGATGTTGGGATAAAGATCACCAATAAAAGGAGCATGTTCAGGAGCACTGTCAACAATATGCAAAATCTTGAAAGGTATGTAACTCTCCAAATAGTAGTTCGCCATTTACCAACATAGTAATTCAAGAGGGCATCTCTGAAGAACAGGTGGGTCATCCATGACTTCTTACCAGTCCTGTAGTACACTGGCAGTGTGTGCTTATGGATATGCTTAAAGGCCTTTGGGTTCTCACTGTGCCAGCTCACAAAAGGTTTCAGTTTGTAACACTACCCCCAAGAAAGACTACTATCCTGTCCTTAAAATTAAGCCTTGAAACCTGGCATTGACTTGGCCTCCTTACGGGATAAAAGTCCTTGCAGGCATCTAATTCCAGAATAGGGAGGTTTCATCCACACTGAGTATTTGCACAAGCAAGTAATTTTCCCCCACAATCAGCTTATCTAGAGTATCCCAAAATTCTTCAGCTCCCTGCACATCAGCACTCACAGACTCACCACTCACTTTCACATCATGTAATGAATAACCATTCTTTTTTTTTTTTTTTTTTTTATCCTCATCCGAGGACACTTTTCCATTTTTTGTACAGACAGAGTGGGAGGGAGAGAGAGGAAGAGAGAGAGAGGGAAACATCGACGTGAAAGGGACACATTGAGTGGCTGCCACCCACACGACCAACCAGGGCCGGGGACAAACTGCAACCGAGGAACATGCCCTTAGCGGGAACCGAACCCGGGTCTCTCCGGACCGCAGGCGGACGCTCTAACCGCTGAGCCAAACCGGCCAGGGCATGAATAACCATTCTTAAATCGTGTAAACCACCTACGGCTAACAGTAAATTCAACACTGTAATTGAGTCTAGCCTATTCTTTCAACGTCACAAACAAACTTTTTGCTTTGGCCATGATTTTCATAGAGATAAAAGAAATACGCTTCTGTATCTAGTCTTCAATTCAGGTCATTAGAAGTTTCTCCAAGCCTGATATAGGCCCTCCTCAGATTTTTGTTAGTTTCATTGCCTTTAATGAGGCAGACCCTTTAAGAGCTTCCTTCACTTTGTTTTTGTTCTTCAAGATCATAGCTATGGCACAATGGGACATGCCTGACTGGCGAGCAATAACCATTACTGATTTTCTACCTCTGTAGTTCTTAATTACTTTTTAATTTTGTTTCCAGGGCCATCACTCAGCATAGCTTCTTACTGGCAATGTTAACAGTGAATTTTGTTTTTTATGGGTTTCTTTTTGCCAGGGCAAGCAATAATTTTTTAAATTAATTTATTTTGTTACAGATGTTTCCACTTTTTCTCCCATTGATACCCTCCTCCCAATCCCCACACCCTCCATCCCCAGCATTGTTGTCTATGTCCATAGTTATGCATACATTTATGTAAGTTCTGCGAACAGTGGATTTTGTACACTTAGCGGCCATGAAAAACAAAACAACATGAGATTCAATCAAACACAAGAGAAAATGATGCAATCAAGAGACGTGGCAAACATGTGATACATGAGGCTGCTGCCGGTGTAACACAGCATGTGTTTTATAGCCAACATTTTTTGGGGGGTTAATCCTCACCCAAGGATATTTTCCCACTGATTTTTAGAGAGTAGAAGGGAGAGAGGAAGACAGAGAGAGAGAGAGAGAGAGAGAGAGAGAGAGAGAGAGATCCTTTGGTTGCCTCCCACACAACCCCCACTGGGTCTAGGGATCGATCGATCCTACAACCCACATATGTGCCCTTGACTGGGAATCGAACCCACAACCCTTTGGTCCACAGGCCAATGCTCTAATAGCTGAGCCAAACTGGTTAGGGTTACTCAACATTTTTTTATAAGTAGTAAGAGTACACTCTAAAATACAATAAAAAGCATAGTATAGTAAATACATAAACCAGTAACAGTCACTTATTGTCGGTATCAAGTATTACGTACTGTACATAATGTGTATGGTACTTTTCTATAACTGGCAGTGCAGTAGGGTTGTTTACACCAACCTCACCACACACATGAGTAATGTGTTGTGTGCTATGATTATGACAGCTACGTCACTAGGTAAAAGAGAATTTTTAGCTCCATTATCTTATGGGACCACCACTGTATATGTGGTCTGTCTTTAGCCAACATGTCATCATGCAACACATGACTGTACTAAAAATAAAATTATTTCCCCTGTTTAAAAACATCAATTTAAAAATAGAGATGCTAGCCCGGCCAGTGTGGCCCAGTGGATTGAGCGCTGTCCCATGGACTGAGAGGTCCCAGTTTGATTCCCGGTCAGGGCACACCCCTAGCTTTCGGACTCAATCCCCCAGTAGGGGGCATGCAGAAGGCAGCTAATAGATATTTCTCTCTCACATCAATGTTTCTATCTCTCTCTTCTTTCCTCTGTCTCTTAATAAAAAAACAAAAAAAACTCAATAAAATCATTTTTAAAAATATTTAAAAGGTAGAGATGCTAAACAGTTTATGATATCCAGTGTTATCACACTAACTTGATATAATTCCTTTCAATAGGTTTTTAATATACTGAAAATTCTCAGGGGCATCCAAGTTGGAAAGCCCTGGACATAAATTATATCTAGATGATCTAGATTAGAAAAGCATTATTGCCCAGCTGGTATGGCTCAGTGATTGAGCATCAACCCATGCATCAAGAGGTCACCAGTTTGATTCCAGGTCAGGACACATGCCCAGGTTGTTGGTCCAATCCCCAGTGGATGTTATCTCTCATCGATGTCTTTATCTCTCTCCCTCTCCCTCCCTCTCCCTCTAAATCAATAAAGAAAAAAATGTTTTTTAAAAAAAAGCAACATTATGGCTGGAATACTGGCTCTACTACTTATTAGTTGAGTGACACAAATGGAGTTGTTACAAGGAGGAAGGAAGGAATACATGTAGGAGGTTTACAACAGTGCCTACCACAAAGGAAGTGCAATATAACTGTTGGCTACTACTGTCATTACTAAAGGACCCCTTTCAACTCCAAGTCTGTCATGTTTGGTTCACGCCCTGTGGGTCTTCTCATAAATGAGTGACTTCGCCGGTCAAGATGGCGGCGTAGGTAAACGTGGTATCGCGTCCTCCCACAACCACATCAAAGTTACAACTAAACTACAGAACAACCATCATTCAAAACCGCCTGAAATCAAGCTGAATGGAAGTCCTACAACTACGGAATTAAAGCAGCCACATCCAGACTGGTAGGAGGGGCTGGTCCCACACCCAAGTGTGGCGGATAAAAATCAGGAGGATACCTCGGCTGGGAAGGTGAGGGGCCCCCATCCCACACCAGGCACCCCGCTCAGGGTTCCAGTGCCAGGAAGAGAAGACCCATAACTTCTGGCTGGAAAAACCTGCGGGAACTGAGGCTCAGGGAAGCTCCTTAAAGGGCCCGTGCACGGACTTATCCAACTCGCTCCCTCTAAGTTTGGAGGGGAGGCAGCTCGAGGGGCACCAGAGACATACAGAGAAGAATTGAGCCGTTTGGCATTGGAACGAGGGCTGGAGAGGGGGTTTTCTCCGGGACAAACATGCTGTCAGAGGCCTTTGTTCCTTTGGTGAGCCCTTCCCGGGGGCGCAGACAGTCACCATATCTGAGACTCCAGCAACCTGGCTCACACTGGTAGTCCTGCCCCGGTGACTCCCTGAGGCCCTGCCCCACCCAACTTCCAGACCCACCCAAGCTGTTGCTTAATCATAGGATTGGCCTGTCTTGGATCCTGCTTCAGGTCTTTCCTAAATTCTTTCAAACAAGCAGCATCTGGTCTCAGATAGCCCCATACCTCTTGTTAAGTAATACACAGAAACAAATACAGGGAGGCAGCCAAAATGAGGAGACAAAGAAACAGGTCCCAGATGAAAGAACAGAACAAAACCCCAAGAAAAGAACTAAGCGAAATGCAGATAAGCAACCTAACAGATGCTGAGTTCAAAATACTGCTTATAAGGATGCTCAATGAACTTAGTGAGAACCTCAGTGAACTTAGTGAGGGCCTCAAGAGCATAAAAAAGGACCAGTCAGAAATGATGAATGCACAGTCGGAAATGAAGGAGGCATTAACTGAAATAAAGAATAATTTACACAGATTCAATAGTAGAGTACGTAAATCCAAGAAGCAAACCATTGATTTGGAATACAAGGAAGCAAAAAACACCCAATCAGAACAGCAAGAAGAAAAAAGAATCCAAAAAATGAGGATAGTGTAAGGAGCCTCTGGGACAACTTCAAGCGTGCCAACATTCGCACCTTGGGGGTGCCAGAAGGAAAGAGAGAACAAGAAACTGAAAACCTATTTGAAACAATAATGGCAGAAAACTTTCCTAAATTGGTGAAGGAAACAGACATACAAGTCCAGGAAGCACAGAGAGTCCCAAACAAGATGAACCCCAAGAAGCCCATACCAAGACACATCATCCTCAAAATGCAAAGGTTCAAGACAAAGAGAGAATCTTAAAAGCAGCAAGAGAAAGGCAGCTAGTTACCTACAAAGGAGTTCCCATAAGGCTGTCAGCTGATTTCTCAAAAGAAACTTTGCAGGCCAGAAGGGAGTGGCAAGAAATATTCAGAGTGATGAAGAGCAAGAACCTACAACCAAGATTACTCTATCCTGCAAAGCTGTCATTTAGAATCGATGGCCATATAAAGACTTTCCCAGACAAGAAAAAGTTAAAGGAGTTCATCACCACCAAACCGTTATTATATGAAATGATGAAGGGCCTTTTTGAAGAAAAAGATAAAATATATGAACAAACAAAATGGCAATGAATACATATCTATCGACAATGGAATCTACAAACAAAATGAACAGGCAGACAGAAACATTCTCATAGATACAGAGAACATTTTGTTGGTTGTGAGATGGGAGGGGGGTTGGGGGAATGGGTGAAAAAGGTGAAGAGATTAAGAAGTACAAATTCATTGCTAGACTAACAAACCTCAAAGGGAAAGGGGTTGGGGGGGTGGGGAGAAATAAATCAAAGAACTTATATGCATAACCAATGAACACAGACAATAGTGTGGGAAAAGGCGGGAGGGGGATGGGAGTGGGGAGGAGGGGGTCAATGGGGGAAAAATGAGGAACATCTATAATACATTGAACAATAAAGATTTTTTAAAAAATAAATAAATAAATGAGTGACTTCAAATGTTTCTCTCTCTCTCACACACACACACACACACACAGATGCCATACACTCTTCCAATGAGTTGGTAAGAAAGTGTTTTACACAGATACATACAGGCAACAATTCATACATCCTTACCTTTAGCTCAAGTGATTCACCATCAATTCCAAACTGTTTCAAAAGAGGGAGGGCCGTTGCCTTAAGAACATCAACCTATAGAATTGTTTCAGAATAAAAAAAAAAGTTTCATTACACCTTGAGCAGATGGAAAGAAGAGCAAGCCCATGAAGGAGGTGGGCAGAGCAACCAGGTAGATGATGTGTAGTCTGGTGAAGAGAAAGGACGCTGGCTCGTAACTGAGGGCACGGGATGACTCCCCTTGAGTAAACTGAGATTTTTATGAGCCACTGGCTGCTCTGAGCGCTTCTTCATATAGGACATGGAGACTTACACCTGCCTCACAGGTCATTGTCATGAGCATCCCGTGAAGAAAGCACAAGACACTGCCAGGCTCTGACAGAAAACACACTGGGACCTCTGCCCATTCTTTTAGGTATAAACACTGTGGAAAAAAATACCAGATTTTTAAATTAATCTCTTCCCAACATGGTTGTTTAATCTTTAAAGCCTGTGGCATTCCAAAGCCAAAGCAAACCCAAAACATCACTCAACAGCTACTTAAGAATCTTGCCAGTGCCACCACACAGACAGTGAAGGGGCAGCAGTGGTTCTACAAGACAGTGAGGACACCACTGTCCTTGTGGGGGAATTGTCGCCTCAAACTTCCTGAAGCAGCACAAACCCACAACTGCACAGTTGATGGCAAGACTGTGCCAAGTATCCCTGCTTTCTCCTCTCTACTCAGAACTCACACCTGGGGTCCTCCCTGTTCACTTGTGTATTCCTTAGAGTATAAGGATGACATTCAAATCACGATGATCTAACAAGTCAGTGAATGCTGCATCAACTGCCATATGGGGGGGGGGGGCCTACACCCTTACTTGTTCCCAATGGGCAAAATGCTATTTCTCAGTACTGGGGAGCTAACCCTATCAGGAGGCAGCACAAGCAGAGGGTGTAGGGAAAGCGCTGGTCATGGTTCAGGCTCTGTCTCTAGTGAGCTGCATGGCCTCAGATGACAAAATCCCAACTGTCTGGATTTCCTTGTCTCTAAGGGAAGGGGAGGGTCTCAGCCTGTCTTCAAGATGCTGCCCAATCCAACATGCTGATTCAACAGAATGATACTCCAATAAGGCTTTCTAGCAGAGAATAGGCCCCACCTAAATATTCTGCTAACAGAAAATTAACCTGAGGTAGAAATGCCCTATGAAGTCTAGGAACATGTTGAGAATGGATCAGGTGAGGCAAAAGCAGTTACTAGGAAATCCCATGAAGATTAGCTAATTTCAACCTAAATATTATCGTTAAACACACCCAAATACTTCAAACATGCATTTGGGATTGCTAGAACCAAGAATTCAGTCTAGGCTAGTATTAAGGGCAGCTGGGGAGAAGGCCAAGCCGAATTCTGGAAAAACCAGGGTATACAAGGATGTGGGTTAATCTGCTCACATGACTCCCTGGAACTAGGAACAGCTCTCCTAGGGACACGAAAGGCAAGAAGATAGAACAGCCCTTCTGGCTCATCCTACCTGTACCTGGAGTCATATAGGATACAGTGAGATTTACTCGGATGGTCAGCCAGAAGCCCAAGTATAACTCCAGGTGTGGTCCTGACTCCTGAATCACTCTCCATCTGACACGAAGGGCAGGCAACCAGTGTGGAGGGGCGAGCCTGGAAGAGCACATGTAGGCTTGAGTCCCACTCTGCCTCTTACTAGCTGTGAGACCTGCCTATCTTCCCTGGGCCTTGGATTCCTGCTGTGTAAAATGAGGGGCTGGACTGGACATGTCTCAGTCTCCTCCGGCTCTGCACAGTAATTTCAGCAGAATGGAGGTGGCCTGCAAGTTCTACTTAAGGGAAACTGAGTAGTCATTCTGGGGTTAAGAAGAAAAAGCAAAAGTCTGACCCAAGTGGCACCTCAGGGCAAAGGCGTCAGTTATCCTGACAAGTTCAGTCAATCAACAGGTAGAAATGTCATCAGATCCATGCCAAATAGAAGAGAAGAAACTGCTTTCAGTTACCTTGTCTGAAACAGTGACAAGAACACCTACCTCACAGGGTTTGTACAAGAATTAAAAGAATATGGATACATTTATTTACCAGAACAGTGCCCAGCACACAGCAGACTTTATTGTACTTCATTCCCCTTCCAGGATGGTAATGAAAAAGAATGGAATCTTCACTCACCATCCGACCAGGATATTAGCACCAATAAATATTTAATGGGGGTTCTGGTGCCAAATCACTGGGTTTCAAAGGAGACATCCTGGAACTTTGCTTCTCATAATTTCTCCCCGTTTTCTATCCTTTTGCCTTTCAGGGGAAAAAAATGTCCCTAACTCATTTATAGGGTTCACCTCATTTCTGCTTTTGATGCCCATCCCCTTTGGACTTCTGCAGGAGTTACCCTTATTAAACTCCCTAACCCCTGTAATTGTCCTCAGCCTACAAGTAAGCTCAAGTCTTTCATTTAAAAAACTATTTCCAACTCAGCATTTCAGGAATCATCCTACCAAACCTTCTGGATCTCCTACTTTCCATGGTTCTCTTTCCTGCTCACTCCTCATCCTGTGATGTCCTTACACTTCAATGACACTGCCTCTCAAAGGTCAATAAAACTTCTCATTGCTCAATCTCCCTGCCCAATCCTCAATCAACTCCTGCAAAGGCTGACTCTCTGGGTCCTCCCTGGTTTTTCCGAACTCGGCTCCTGCTTGGCTTCTCCATACACATCTACCTCCACTGTCACTGTCTGCAGCTCCCCTTCCCCACTCACACCTGAAACACTCACTTCCTCTTCTGTTCTCAGCCCCTGAGACCGTGGTGCGAAAACTCTAATGCTCAACCCAGGCCAGAAAGGGAATTTAAATGAATGACAAGATCAGCTAAGACCTCCAGCTAACCAGAGAGTGGAGAGATCATGCCTTTTCCAGAGGACAGCTACTACTCAGCTCCAATGGGAGTCTGTCGGGGAAGAACTGCCATCCACTGCTGCTACATCAACCTACTATAATGTAAAATCTGGGTTCCAAACATGAACCTTCATTCCAGATACACATACCACCACACTGCAGGCCAAAGGAAAAACAATGGTAGGATTAACCAGAAAGCCGCTGGTGTTCAACCTCGGCACTGCTCAATCTCATTCTCCAAAGGATTTAACCATAAGTGGGTAAGATACTGATGACCTATCTCAGGCTCCAGACAGTAATTTCCAACTGCCAACCGCACAACCTATGCGGATATCCTCCCAACATACCAAAATCAAACACATCACCCATCATCCAACCACAATTTTCCTCTTCCCTGTGTCAAACTCTTTCTGATCACTATCCTTCAAGTCAACCAGGACAGAAATTGTGGAGCTATTTTATGAACACTTCCATCTCCAACTGGCTGTCAAATTACGAAGTCTCTCCTGCACACTGCCCTTCATATCTGTCCCTTCCTTTCTACTTCCACTTCCATTATGTTCAAACTGATTGACACCCCTCCAATTCATCTGTTTCTCAGCCTCCAGAGTTCTCTTCCTAAAAACCAGACTGACTCTGTGGTTTCTCCTCCTCTAGAAGACCTCCCTGACCCTCAGCACTTTGCTCGCACCTCTATCAGAGCCCCGAGGTACTCAGCCTGGTAGTCTCCCCAGATGTGCACAGCCGTCCACCCGTGAGAACAAGTTCCCTAAGGGCAGAACTCATCATATTCGTCCTGCTGCAGAAAGTAAAGGTGGACTTGAACGGATGGGGAAACCATGTATTAAAGAGAAAGCTCAAAATAAAGAAGCTACAGACTAAAGAAGTGACTCTGTCTAAGATTGGGTACATTTATTTTATCCTGGGTTGGAGCCAAGTACTATCCAAGGTCATTTTAGTCTTGCAGGGAGCAAAAGCAGATAGTCCTGTAGCATATGAAAATAGATTTTTTTTTAATACTCCTGCATAAAAGAGGTAAGTACTATTTCTGGGGAATTCATCAACTAATCTTTGTTAATATATAAACATTTAATATAGCCGGTGATAACAGCTTTTAAGATTATTTAGCAATTATAGAAAAAGAGTATAAAACTGGGACACAGTGCCAAACTCCCCCGTACGCTTCCTTCGGGGCCTTTCCCATTACCTAAGGCCCTTCCCACCCTCCACCTAACAGCACAGAGGCCTCCTCTCGGGAATACTTTCAACTGAAGGGTCCAATTCCTAGAATCTTCTAGGAAAATGCAGAAAAAAAGCAATCCTTTGAAATTAGTTTAAAATTCTAAACAGTTTATTCAACATTCCTTTACAGTTAAGAATTTCGGATCATGCACCGTACTCAGATTCTAGGAAAAGAGTTTATGTATGTACCTGAATTCCCAAGAATTGGGGGAAAAAAGTCTTTTACTGCCCAAGAACACATTAACCAGGTTTATACTCTGATAAGTGTATAGATGAATACCAGCAGTCTCCATTGTGCGGTTCACTGAACCACCTAACTAGTCTCCCTGGTTACATTCTGCCTTAGAAGCTGCCCCTTCACTGGTCTTCCCCCTGCCCCCCTTTTTTATTATTTTCAGATTAAAAAAAAATTATTTTCAATTACACTTTACATTCAACATTATTTTGTATTAGTTTCAGGTGTATAGCATAGTGGTTAGAAATCATATACTTTACAAAGTGTTCCCCCTGATATTTCCAGTACCCACCTGGCACTATACATAGTTATGATAATATTAATGACCCTTCATCAGCTCAGTTCCATATCTGTAGAGGTGAAGATAAGAGTTCTCAGTCAGGACTTCACATCATGGCCATTGGCATGAAGAGACCATCTCTGGACAGCAAAGCATCCAAATGTAAGGATCCTTCCCTCCCTATGAGAGGTCTAAGGTAGGTATAGACAGGAATGCTCTAATCTCTCTAATCTCTCTCTCTCTCTCTCTCACACACACACCAAAACCCATCCTAGACTGGCACTAAGACAGTTGTGGTGGCCACAATGAAAATTCCACCTGTATATTAAACTATCCTCCCCATACATGCGGGGAAATTAGCCTGCTTAATAAGAAGGTTGCTGGTGCCCTCAAGCTATCAAAGCTCACATATATCATCCCTGTCCCTATGCCCTTTCTCTAAATCTATAAACTCTTCTCAGTTTGAATAAGTCAAGATTATGCTGCAACAATGCCAAGGAGATATTATTTTCTAAAATTTTGGTCTGTTGCTGTCCAGCCTCAGCTATCACATGACCTTACAAAAGTTTCACTCTCACACACTTCAGCCAACAGAGTCCTATTTCATGTCAACTATGAGACTGCAAGCATCTGTTCTGAAGGTTCTTAGACACGACAATGAAAGGCACCTTGATAACTGGTAACAATCATCACTAAATTTGATGGATTATGAATCTTAGTTTATCTGTGTCCTGGAGTGATTAATCTCTACATCTCAAGGTAAACAAAACAAAGACACTCGACAATAAACCTGTGCTTTATCAGTAACTTGTTTCTCAAAAGTCGGGTTGTGCTAAGAGGCAAAACAAAAATCACACCATGGTTTGGCCTTACTACTCACCGAAGGGTCAACCTGGTCATTGGTCACTCCTCGCAAAACTATTCTTAATGGGTGCTTCATAAATGGAGCCAGGCAAAGAAGACTCTCCAGGTAATAGCCGATGCTGCGAAGGACACTGCAGTCATGTTCCACAGACCCACCGTACAGGAGGCCAGGCTGGTAATATAAGGTCGTTCCTTACACAAGAGGAAAGAGAGCCACATTCATCAGGGAGGAAAAATACCTCAGTGTCACAACAGCAACAAAAGCAGTGAATCCCAAGGGGAAAAACTGACACGGGCATCTAAGGGAGTTCAAAATGCCACTCCTATAAGCCCACACTTCAGTTCCAAAGCTGACTCATTACTGCTAAGCCCCTGTAATAATAATAAACTGCGAGTGTAATATAATAAACAGTAATAAATCACGCTCCTCCATAAACCATCTGAATTGCCAAAGTTGTGGCAGGGCAGAGAAAAACTCCTAATAGGCATCTTAGTCTGCCAACAGCACATTCCTAGACTGTGCTAAATAAGGCCATTTACAAACGATGCTCTGAAACGATCACACCAGTAATCAGCTTCTTCTAGGCCCTGAAATAAGATTTCCAGCTTCTGCACACCAAACAAGATGCCTAGAAAAGGCAAGTATTGCCCTGGCCAGTTTGGCACAGCGGTTAGAGTGTCGGCCCGTGGACCAGAGTTCCGGGTTCAGTTCCCGCTACGGGCATGTACCTTGGTTGCAGTTTGTCCCCGGCCCTGGTCGGGGTCATGTGGGTGGCGACCAATGTGTCTTTCTTACATCGATGTTTTTCTCTCTCTCTCACTCTATCTGAAGATAAATGCAGAAGTGTCCTCAGGTGAGGATAAAAAAAAAAAAAAAGCAAGTACTTTATCGCAATTCCATTAATAGTTGCTATAACAGCCCTGGCCAGTTTGGCTCAGCGGTTAGAGCGTAGGCCTGCGGTCCGCAGAGACCCGGGTTCGGTTCCCGCTAAGGGCACGTACTTCGGTTGCAGTTTGTCCCCGGCCCTGGTTGGTCGTGCGGGTGGCAGCCACTCGATGTGTCCCTTTACGTCGATGTTTCTCTCTCTCTCCCTTCCTCTCTCTCCCTCCCACTCTATCTGTACAAAAAATGGAAAAATATCCTCGGGTGAGGATAAAAAAAAAAAAAAAAGTTGCTATAACAGTAACTAATGAAAATATCTAAATTTATTTAATGGCTTTATTAGAAACTCTTTATTATCTTTATTCACTTTTCACATACTCATTTCTTACTAAATTAACACATTAGAGGAAAAACAAAGATACTGTAGATGATCTAGGGGGTATAAATGGGTAAAACAAGGTCTTTTTGCTGCTAAAATGTTTCGCAATGTCTTCTGGCACAATTTACCAATAAACAAACTTAGCAACAGAAGAAGGAGATGTGCTCAATCACTCAAGTAAAAAGCAGCTCTTGGGAGTTTCACAGAATAGGTTTTACTATATTAAAAACCAAAATCCCAACAATGACAATCAAAATCATTCCTTCCACACTTCTCAAAGGGAAAGAGTCTACATCAGTTATTCTAAACACTATTATTGAGTCGCAAAACCAATCCTGTAGGTCAAAAAGCCATTTTTAAAAAAGCTGTATAACCACTAAATGCTGCAAATCTGTTTATGCCTGCAAATTAACCACATCAAAAACTGACCAGATCATGAGAATGAAGTATTCTATCTACTCTTGGGTGTGTGTGTGTGTGGGGGGGGGGGGGTATGGGGTGTTTTGTTGGGACAGGGAGATATGAGGTAGAAGCAAGATCATGCAAATGTCTACTTCCCAACCTAAGCTGCAGATGTGACTAGAAAAGAATAGAAGTGCCTGCCCTATGAACCACCAATATGAACTGCTGAAAAAAATCTCCAGCCATTTCACAGTAAACAAGGAAGACTAATGAAATCATAGCTTGCAAAAGGTATCTGAAGCCTCATGCCTAAAACCTGTTCTTTGTAAGGTATGGCAGAATGCAGCTACAGATCAATAACTTTTGTGTGGTGCCACTTAGGAAGCTAAGCTTGTCTTCTTTCTTAAAAGAGTCAACATATGGGCCCTGGCTGGTGTGGCTCAGTTGGTTGGAGCTTCATCCTGTACACTGAAAGGTTGTGGGTTTGATTCCCGGTCAGGGCACATTCCCTGGTCGGGATGCATACGGGAGGCACCAATCGATGTTTCTCTCACAATGATGAATGCTATAATACCATATTAGGCCCACTGAAATAATTGAGATTAATCTTCGATATCTGGACTAGTGAAAAGAAAAGCTGGCTGCAGAACACATAAAGAGCACAACCCTGTCGGTCTAAAATCCAGAAGTGCCATGTAAGCAAATGCAGATAGAGGAGAGAAGACAAGAGCACACACCCCAAGCTGTGACCATGGCTGCACCTGGGAAGGGAATGGAATGGGAAGCAGGTGAAGGGACTTGCACAATTGTTGCATATACTTTTTTATTTTTATTTATATTTTTAATCCTCACCCAAAGATATTTTTCCATTTATCTTCAGGGAGAGTGGGAAGGAGGAAGAGAGGAAGAGAGAGAGAGAGAGGTGAACATCTATGTGAGAGAGACACATCGATTGGTTGCCTCCCATATGACCCCAACCAGGGCTGGGGACAAACCACAACTGAGGTACATGCCCCTGGCCGGAATCAAACCCAGGACTCTTTGATCCGTGGGCCAATGCTCTGATTGCTGAGCTGAACTGGCCAGGACTACATATACTTTTTAAAGGACAAAATAAGCCCTGGCTGGTTTGGCTCAGTGGTTACAGCGTTGGCTCTTGGACCACTGAGTCAAGGATACATACCTCAGTTGCAGTTCATCCCCCGGCCCTGGTTGGGGTGGTGCAGGAGGCAACCAGTCAATGTGTCTCTCTCATGTCAATGTTTCTCTCTCTCTCCCTCTCTCCCACTCTATCTGAAGATAAACAGAAAAATATCCTCAGGTGAGGATTAAAAATAATAATGCCCTGTTGGCTCGCGGTCTGGAGAGACCCGGGTTCAGTTCCCGCTAAGGGCACATGCCTGAGTTGCCATTTGTCCCTGGTCCCAGTTGGGACTGTGTGGGTGGCGACCACTTGATGGGTCTCTCTCACATTGATGTTTCTCTCTCTCTCCCTCTCGCTCTATAAATGCAAAAAGTGTCCTAAGGTGAGGATTAAAAAAATAATAATAGCCCTGGCCAATTTGGCTCAGCAGTTAGAGCATTGGCCTGCGGTCTGGAGAGACCTGTGTTCAGTTCCTGCTAAGGGCACATACCTTGGTTGCAGTTTGTCCCTGGCCCTGGTTGGGTAGCAACCACTTGATGTGTCCCTTTCACGTCAATGTTTCTCTCTCTCTCTCTCTTCCTTCCACTCTATCTGAACAAAATATCAAAAAATAATAATAATAATAATAATTTTAAAAAAAGAAAATTCAGCCCTGGCTGGTGTTCTCAGTGGTTAGAGCATTGGCCTGTGCACCAAAGTGTCTAGAGTTTAATTCCTGGTCAAGGGCACATAGCTGGGAAGCAGGTTTGAACCCAGGGCCCAGTTAGGGTTCGTGCAGGAGACAACCAACTGATATGTCTCTTTCACATCGATGTTTCTCTCTCTCTTCACCCCCCACCCGTCTCTCTCTTCGCCCCCCACCCCTGTCTCTCTCTTTTCCTCCCTCTCCAAAAATCAATGAAAAAAACATCCTCAGGTGAGAATTAACAAAAAATAAAAAATAAAATTCAGCATATTCAACTATCACATAGAGTTTGTTGTAAGATTTTGTTGTGACAATATAAGTAAATGGACTTTGAAAAGTTGTACATAAATGTTAGGTATAAAATATTTTTACTGCTTAAAAAAAGGAAGTGCTTGTTTGTTGATCTGAAATTTTCAATCTTCTAGCTTCCTTAAATCAAGTATACGCTCCTTAAACTGGCAAGAGTTCACACATATCTCCAAACAGTTGTATCACAGAAACTAGATTTTTCCATTTGTATACAATATTTATACCATCAAAAGGAGTGAGAAACAGCAGAACATTTAAGTAGTGCATATGTAGGTGCTTTCCAGAATGGGAAGAAAAGGACCTTACCTGTTTGGTTTATTTCAATTCGAGAACCATTTGTTATTTTGTCTAACAGCCTTATGAAGCTGGCTTCAAAATCTGTGGGAAAAGAGAAAACAGATTGGCCTCATGTTAGGTTACCCTTTACCAACAGCACGTCCCTTTCAGGTACTGTGAAGGAGGGTAGGTTACTTCCTGTATCACAGCTGGGTTTTTCTCATGACCTGGTGGGATCACTGGCTAAAGAACCTTAAGCAGCAAAAAAGCACTGACTAGCACATATATGTTTGGTAGAGCTATTAAAACAGCTCAGCTTTCACATTCCACAAAAAATTGAAACTCTACCAGCAATCTGAAGCAATATTAACTTTAGTAGCCTAACAACCTTAAGACTTGTTCTTCTGACCTGAGAAGCACATGCCAAATGAGAAATAAATAGCAGTAAGAAGAAAAGAGTTTTAAAGTCAAATTCTTACTTGTTACAGAATACCTGAGAGGAGAGATTAAATCGAGGTCACTGTCTCTCCCATTCAACAAAGCATCCCTTCTCCCCTCCCCTACCGTTTTACTGATCTAGAGCTCTCTAGCCAGTTCAATTTTTAATTTCATTATAAAAGGTGCCGGATGTACAGTATTACTGCACCTTTTTTAAAAAAAATGCAAGGCAGTCCTGTTCAGTTTGGCTCAGCGGTTGGAGCGTTGGCCTGCGGACAAGAGGGGCCCGGGTTCGGTTCCTGCTAAGGGCATGTACCTCAGTTGCAGTTTGTCCCTGGCCCCAGTTGGGATTGTGTGGGTGGCAACCAGTTGATGTGTCTCTCTCGTGTGGATGTTTCTCTCTCTCTCTTCCTCCCTCTCTCCGTCCTCAGGTAAGGAAATAAATAAATAAATAAATAAATAAATAAATAAATAAAATGCAAGAGAAAAGACTGAAAGGAAAACACTAAATGTTAATAAATGGGTTTCTCTTCATGGCAGGACTTTATAGGAAGAATTTTCTTGTTTAAATTTTAACATTCAAATTGGCTTCAATTCCTTTTAAGAACAGATAGTTAAGCTGGTCATTCTTTTTAAAAAGGGGGGTAGAAGGGCAGGAACTGATTTTAAACGTGAAATATGGAAGGAGGTAGAGTGAAAACTCAGGAGAATATGTCCTCTGGCCTTCCCGAGTTGATCTCATACACAAACAAACGTGTGCGCGCACGCTTAAGTTTCAACCTCCCTCCCATGAATGAGGATAGAAGTCCAACTCTTCTGCACTGAGGCTAATGACATGGTCTGACACCTTAATGCAGCTCCCACTCCTATAAACAACTAGCAGAGTTTGTGAGCACAGACTCCAGCAGTCACCTAAACTGATCCCAAAGGGTCAGCAAATGACCTAAGCAATTCCTATCCACCTGTTCTACTACTTAATGTTGTCCCATAACTGCTGTCATAATAGATTCTTCAATCTGTACAAAGACCCATGGGCTAAAGTGAGAGAAACTGCAATGTTCTGAAACATGTAATAACAGCAGGTGTGTATTAATGCTTACTTATACATTCTCTCATTTAATACTCGAAACCCCAAGGCAGGAAGCGCCATTCCCATTTTATAGAAGGCTTAAGCTCAAGAATGCCTACTAGCTTGTGACTGGACAGTGGCAGAGCCAGGAGCTAAGCCCAAGTCCATCCTTCTCCAAAGTCCAGGCTCTTAAGCACACCACAACTGTAGTTTGCCTCGGAGCCAACATTTTCCTCTAGCAGTGACCAGTATAATCACTGGAGTCAATTTAATGAGTCCCCAATCACCACTTATTTTTAATAAAATTAGAACAGAATAAATGATACCAGAATAACTGTACACAGTAAAGGTACTGTTCGAGAAAACTTTAGCACACACACATATATTTGTATGTGTATTAAGTTGTGAGGTTAAGTAGCATCACAAATTTTCAAAGTAACTCAATTACAAAAGTTAACTAGAAAATTTAACCAGAAATTATTTCTATGGTCTCTTTATATAGAATAATTCTGGGTGCCTTTTAAATTTTATTTATTTATTTAAAATATTTTTTCCTTTGCCCTGGCTGGTTTGGCTCAGCGGTTAGAGTGTTGGCCTGCGGTCCAGAGAGACCCAGGTTCGGTTTCCGCTAAGGGCACGTGCCTCGGTTGCACTTTGTCCCCGGCCCTGGTTGGGCGTGCGGATGGCAGCCACTCGATGTGTCCCTTTCACATCGATGTTTCTCTCTCTCTCTCGCTCTTGCTCTCTCTCTCTCTTTCTCCCTCCCTCCCACGCTACCTGAACAAAAAATGGAAAGGTGTCCTCAGGTGAGGATAAAAAAAATAAAAAACAAAAAAAATAAATAATTCTTTCCTTTATTGATTTTAGAGAGAGAAGTGAGAGGGAGAGAGAGATAGAAACACCGATGAGAGAGAACATCAATTGGCCGCGTCCTGCATGCCCCCCACAAAGGATTGGGCCCACAACATGGGCATATGTCCTGACTGGGAATCAAACAGGCAACCTCTTGGTGCTTGGGTCGATGCTCAACCACTGAGTCATACTGGCCGGACCTGGATGCTTTTTTTAAAAATCAGGCATGATCTGTATACCATAATACCACTTTCTATTTATGTTTTAAAAAATGCAAGGTACTTGGCACAAAAACGAAAAATTCTTGATTTGCTCAAGCTTCCAAGGTCCCTAAATGGGAGAGAGGAACAAGCTTTATGAATAAAGCCCTAAATTAAACTTTAAAGCTTTTAGAGATTAGGACAGGGAGAAAAAGCACGACTTGAGAAAAGAATTCTCTTCTTTTTTTTTTTGCAATCCACAGGGGCTCTTAAGCATGAACATAGTTAAAAATGTCCAGCAGCAGAACATGAGTAGAAACACAATGGGCACATAAAGAGACCTGCAGGCAGGACTATGCCCTGGTCACAACAAATAAGTGCTCAGGAAGCAATACTTCAAAGAATCAAACACAGAGCTAGTTCTGGAATCCTAGCAACAGTGAAGATATAGCTCCATCACCTGGTACAAAAAAGATCTCAAGTTCACCTAATAATAGTAAGAGGGGAGTTCCCCAAGCTTCAGTAAGACAAGATGTGTAGAACTCCTTGCCCCTTCACTTCCCACACACCCTATGTGACTCTTCCTCTTCAAATCTGCTCCTGGGGGGTACAAAATTCCAGATATCTAAAAATATTAGGGGAGAGTTCCAAAAATAAGCACAATTTCACTACATTGCTTAAGAATACATATTAGATTATAAAGTTATAAAGACAATTAACATGAATGCCATAATAGTCAGGAAAGGGGCCACCACTAGGAGCATGGAAGGAGCTGTAAATGAAAAAGGCCACAGAGGTGCAGGTAATGTTCTATTTTTTTTAATCCAGATGGGTCACACAGGTATTCATTTTATAATCCTTTAAGTATTACTTTCATGTCTTATGCATTTCCTATGTTGCTGTATTTCATATTTTAAGCAATTTGTACTGTTAGGATCTTCAATCTCAGGACTCCCTAAACACCAAATCCAATGTCCTCCCCTCCATAACCCACTAAGGAAGTTGAGTTCATAATTTCTGTAAGGGGGACAATAACTCCTATAAAACAGTGGCAGTTATCAGCCTGACACATTCCTCACTAAAAAAGCAAAACTACGTGTCAAGGAAGTAGAGCAAGGGAAAGAACACAATCTAGAAGCCTACATATTTTTTTATTAATTAATTTATTTTTGTTACAGATGTTTCTCCTTTTCCCCCCAGATTCCCCGCTTCCCTTCCCTCCCCACCCTGTCCACAGCTTTGTTGTCCATGTCCATTGTTCATGCATACATGCATATAAGTCCTGTGTTTTATCTCTCCCCCACACCTCCTCTTCTGAGTGTTGTCAGTCTGTACCCCACTTCCATGTCTCTGGGACTACCCCATTCCTCAGACTGTTGTGTTCATTATATTCCACAAATAAGGGAGATCATATGATACTTGTCTTTCTGTTTGGCTTGTTTTGCTTAGGATAATATTTTCCAGGTCCCTCCATGTCGTCTCAAAAAATGAGAGATCTTTCTTTCTTACAGTTGCATAGTATTCCATTGTGTATATGTACCACTGCTTTTTTATCCATTCGTCTACTGATGGATATTTGGGCTGTTTCCAGATCTTAGCTATTGTAAATAGTGCTGCTACGAACATGGGGGTACATATATTCCTTCTGATTGGTGTTTCAGGCTTCTTAGGCTATATTCCTAGAAGTGGGATTACTGGGTCAAATGGCAGTTCTCTTTTTAATTTTTTGAGGAAACACCATATTGTTTTCCATAGTGGCTGCACTAGTCTGCATTCCCAGCAGTGGACTAGATCTCCTTTTCTCCACATCCTCGCCTGGCGGCCATTCTGACAGGTGTGAGATGATACCTCATTGTTGTTTTAATTTGCATCTCGCTGATGATTAGTGATGTTGAGCATTTCTTCATATGTCTCTTAGCCATTTGTATGTCCTGTTTGGAGAAGTGTCTATTCAGCTCCTCTCCCCATTTTTTAATTGGGTTCTTTGTCTTCCTTTTGTGGAGTTGTATGAGCACTCTATATATTTTGGAAATTAACCCCTTATCTGATGTATCGTTGGCAATTATGCTCTCCCACAGTGGGTTGCCTTTCCATTTTGGTGGTTTCCTTTGCTGTGCAGAAGCTTTTGAGTTTGATGTAGTCCCATGTGTTCATTTTCTCCTTTATTTCTGTTGCCTTAGGTGATGTATCAGTGAAAATTCTGCTCCATATGATGTCTGAAATTTTGTTGCCTACAGTTTCTTCTAAAATTTATATGGATTCATGGGTCACATTTAAGTCTTTTATCCATTTTGAGTTTATTCTTGTGTATGGTGTAAGTTGATGGTCTAGTTTCATTTTTCTGCATGTAGCTGTCCAATTTTCCCAACACCATTTATTAAAGAGGCTGTCTTTACTCCACTGTATGCTCTTGCCACCTTTGTCAAATATTAATTAAGCATATTGTCTTGGGTCCATTCCTGGGTTCTCTAGTCTATTCCATTGATCTATCTGCCTGTTCTTGTGTAGAGACCTATACTTTAAAAACAAGGAACAAATCTTAA